AAATAAAAATTGTAAAAAATTATTTAAAAAAAGATTGGTTCTAGAAAGCATTGTCAATTAAATGGTTTTCTGGTTTAAATGTTGTTAGATGTATAAATACTGAACTTTTTAAGTGAATACTGCGCTTTAGTTTACAGAGTGTATTTAGAAATTTGTCGATATTCAAGTTTAGTTATAAGAGTTCCGTTTCAATCTTTTCAACTCTCTGTTGCAATTCTACTTTTATTTTTGAAACGTTAACAGTTGGTAATAAATACGCTAATTAGCTGCTAGTTTGAATCTTCTTTAGACCCTACATATCTGTCAATTATACCAACTCTGAGCAGATTTTAATGCAAATTGTATTCGGTTTCTTTTATTTTGTTTATTTAGCAGCTAAACAATAAAACAGAATACGTTCTTATATATCTCACATTTACTGTATCATTTTTCGATAATTTTAGTCTGAAACCTATTCGTTTGACGAAGCTAATGGTTTCTGTATCAAAAAATTTAAAGCGACCTTGCTTGAAATAGAATCTGTAGAAGAAATGGAATTCTTGATTGGTTAGTTGACCGTAGAGTACTTTTTCAGTTGGTGGCTTTGCTGAGAGAAGCGTTAAGCCCGAACTGTCCAGTATACATAAATTAATGTTGCAAAGTTCACAAAAAAAAATAACTTTATATTTGATTTCTTTTTGAACAAAATTGCACTTTATTTTTACTTTGAGTAATGTAACTTATAAAAAATTTTTGTATTTCTAGAAGATCAAAAGAGGCACTCAAATCTGCCAGAGTTCGTTTATTCTGAAGCTTTTTTCTCCAGCTCCGATTCAAATTTCAGTCTTTCTGAGATAAATTTTCACAATTCAACGCTATCAGCAGACAATAAAACCTGCTATTTTCTGATTGCGTATTATGACAAGTATAAAATGCAAAAAAGTGAGTTATGATTTTTGATTTTAAAAAAAGGAAGAATGATTTTATCTGAATAGTAATTGTTGGTTATTTTAAAAAGTGTAAACAGCGCAATGAAATTAAGAAAAGTTGGGTTTGAGAAAATGTTTATCAATTATTTTTTAAACTATAGCTATTTATCAAAGCGTATTTTAGCATTCACCTTTAGCCATCATTTTGCGTGCTCTTTCTACTTTCAACTAATAAACTGTAGCAATTTTGTTTTTTTAGGAGAAACAGTTTCTACAGACTGTTCCTATAGATTTGTTTCTTATATCTGTAAAGCTTTTTTGAAAGGACCAGCACTTGCGCTGCTAAAGTTTTCAATATCGGTAAGTAATAAAGTGATGATTGCAGCGAAGAAATAAAACATTTAAAAGGAAAGCCATTGATTTGTGAATTTTTTAATGTTACTATTTGCGCTTAAAGTAGTAGTAACTTTTGCAGTGAATTAGAAATTGAACTTAATCTAATTTGGTTTTATAAACACTGTAATTAAAATGATGCTAAAAATACCGAAGCTTTCATTAATTTATTTTTTAGTTTTGTTTTACTCGCTTTTTTTGTAGAAGAAAAAATATGAAATTTTTTTAATGCTAACTTACAAGTCCAATTTTTATAGGAAAATGGAAGCGCTTTGAAAGAAGGAAGCTCAAAATTGGAAGAAACACTTTTAGATACAGCGACAGGTAATAACTTCAGAAGAAAACTTAGCAATTTTCACACTAAAAGTTTACACAGCTGATGAGACAAAGATTCAGAAAATCAGGACTAATAGTTGTACGTTTATTGACCGCGTAAACTTTTGTACTTTTCAACAGTATAGCGCTTTTTTCTAGTTTACCAAGAGATTTACTAAATTTCTCAATAAAATAGTTGTATAAAAAAGGTAACAACTTTTGTTAAAGTTTTTTTGGAATATATGCACATATTAATTTGCTCACTGACTTCAGTACTTGCAAATGACAAAAGTCACTCTGATCGTTTTTTATGACGGTTAACCTAAGCGGCTGATTCGTTCTTTGTTCTGGAAAACGGTAGCAACTGCATTAGCAATAGCTTACAGTATGACAGTTCAATTTCTCCCTCTAACGAACGCTCTTATTTACAAAGCTTTTTTACTAGACGTGTTGCTATATGCTCAAATGCGTCTCCTAAATTTCTTTCATCATATTTCTTATATTTTGTCATTTACAACGTATAAATTTTGATTAGCGATATTACGCTTATCGTCTACCTTAAAATGGAGACGCCGTGCATTTTTGCTCAAATTTATTTTTTAGTTTAGGTTTGGTACGCCTTGTAACAACCCTTATCAAACCTTTACGCAACTCTCGAGAGCTTTTTTAAAATAAATTCTGTTTTTTTTTTTTCGGAGGTTAACACTGAAGGTTATGGAAAGTTTGTACATGTGGCAGATCTATGTTAACACTGTTTTTATTTGCAGAAGGCTCTAAACAGTTTTCTTCATTTTTTAAAATTTCAGGCTTCCAGTTAAAGGCTTGCTAAAAAACAGATTACGTGCATAAATCCAAAATTCGAATATTTGAAAACTGACAATTTCTGAGAAATTCTATTTTTTTTTTACACGAACCTCTCTTATTCTAATTTTTTCACTTTACCATGGTGTTCCTTGAGTAATTAAATTTTCCTCTACACTTTTTAATAGAGGATAGTTTCTGACTCTAGAAATAATTGAATTATAAAATTATAACCTGCCAAGCTCTAGGTTTCAGCTGCTTCAAGCTCTCTCTTGTATAAGCATTCTGTCTCTAATTATTCAAAACAACCTCTATTAAACTCGTTACCCACCTTAAAAAAAAGAAAATTTTTTTGACAGTTTGCAAGTGCTTTGCTTTTACTAAACAGAACTTTGTGTAACTTCGTAGTCACGTGTTTAGTAAAACTAAAATAATCAAATAGTATTACTTATTTAGTTGCGTTAGACTAAGTCACTCTAAGATAATAATTATTCAGTTCAAAATTTAAACGTTAATTGTTATAGGCACTTAATAAGTTGAAAGTAAAGTACAAAAAAATATATATGAAAACTTTGTAAGATTCAAATTCAGCATAAAGACGAAGAATTGAATTTATCAAGACAGCACTCTAATTTTGTCTCTCCTGTGGTTAGGGTTTTGATGAGAAAGTGCAGAAACTGTTCACTTAACAAATAGAAGTAATCGTTGTAGTAACTTTTCCGTAAGAATTCTGTTGAGTTTTTCTTCCCATTAGCAACAAATTTTATTTTAACTTATCTCAAAAAAACTTAATAACAGCATCTAATTTGTAGGTATCAAAAAGACTTATCTTTTTTTCTGTAAACGCAGGCATAATTAGATGTTTTTCTAATAGGATAGTTGTTCAATGCACATCTAAACCTAATCACTTTACGCATTATTGCTTAATTGCTCTATTTTACTTTTTTTTTTTT